GCTGGTCAGTTTCAGCAGCGGCTGAATCTGGATGCCAGTTCCAACTTACATACAGATTCAACTTAAGAACAAACCTACAGTCTCTATCTTGTACGTAACCCGGGGACTGCCTGTATTGAGAGGAGGGAAGGAGCATGGGAGATTACATTGCCAGCTGGATGCCTGTGGAGTTGTAGTGTGAAGCATTCTGGAGGGGAAGGGCTGGTCAGTTTCAGCAGCGGCTGAATCTGGATGCCAGTTCCAACTTACATACAGATTCAACTTAAGAACAAACCTACAGTCTCTATCTTGTACGTAACCCGGGGACTGCCTGTATTGAGAGGAGGGAAGGAGCATGGGAGATTACATTGCCAGCTGGATGCCTGTGGAGTTGTAGTGTGAAGCATTCTGGAGGGGAAGGATAATGTGTGTGCTGTTTGGGGCATGGCCAAGTGGGGAATGCAGTGCCCTCTGGGATTTCTGATGAAAGGAATATGCTGCTGGGAGGGCATGACAGACAGAATGGGGATCTCAGCCAGTGAACTACAGAGGTTTACAAGCTGAGTAAGCTGTCATCTGACTATCAGTTGACAGGGTTCAGTTTGTGCCATTGTATTTTATCCACATTGTACTTAATTAAATGAGCCTGCATGGATTATAGTTTACACTTACAAATTCTTGGGGAAATGTGCACTGATGATTGTTGGCTCACTGCAGTTGACTGAAGCACTTTGGATTGTGCATGAAATTTGCATTTCAAGTGAGCTTCCCAGAGCAATTGTCCTTTACTTCTGCAGATGTTTCTAGTGAAGACAGTGTCTCAGTTTTCCCCATTTGGGAAATGGAGATACTTATCTGCTCCATCAACCTCACTGTGGATTACAAGGATCACTGCATATCTTACAGTAAAATTGGAAAGTATAATGTTCAGGCTAAATACTGTTATGACAACACTTGGTATCTTGATTTTTAAGCATCCATTTCCTGATGGTTGAAACTTTGCCATCCTCATGCAGTGCTCCTTGTAATATCACAGTGATGGATCAAGGCATAAAACTTATGTTTAAACAAAAGTCAGTAGCATAATTTCATCTGTGAACCTTAAATGCGCCCTGGGTGTTTGGATGGGACTTCAAAGATGCTCATTCCTCATTTCAGTGTCATCCTTTGGAAGCCAGAATTGGACATATGTGAAGCTGCAAAATGTTAGGGTCCCTAAATCACAGATAAGAGCAGAATTGATGAAAAGCAAACACTAAGGCACTGGGTATTTGTAATATATGACAAGACAGTAGTCCTTAAAAAGAGTTTGTTCTTTTTGATACAGTGCACTAAATCCTTCTCATTTCCTCTTCATGCAAGTAGCCTTTAAGGCAAGCAGAATTTGTCCCATTAATACTCTTAGTATTTGACAGAAGCTTCCAGTTAATAATGGAAGCAAATCTTACTTGGCACATAAAACTTAATCTTATTAGCTTGCAGAAAAAGCCATTAGAAATTCAACTCTTACGTTTAATTTTAAATACTTACAGTATCTGAGTAATGCTGAGTCTATTAGCATGTTTATGATTAGACAATAATAGGTTTTGACTTGTTTTTTTATGATAGCTTTAAAAACTCCACACCCTCACAGTGCTGTTCCAACAGCTGTAATTGTTCTGTACTACCATTGGGAGGCCCTGGAGGTTTTTTCGCCTTCCTCTGTAGCATGGGGTACAGATCACAGCTGGAGGATTCTCTACATCTTGGGGTCTTCAAAGTATTTGAAGGCTTCAATATCTGAGATATAGGAGAGAGGATTATTCTAGGAGGGGTGGGTGAGATTTTGTGGCCTGCACTGTGCAGGGGGTCAGACTAGATGATCATAATGGTCCCTTCTGACCTTAAAGTCTATGAGTTCCTAATGCGTTTTGAGATTAATAGCAGGGTGAGACAAACTTAATTTTAATTTTTCTCCTTTTCAGGGTGTGGCCTGAATGATTCTCCTGTGGGGCTGGCTGCATACATCTTGGAGAAGTTTTCTACATGGACTGATATTGAATTCCAGAAACAAGAGGATGGAGGGCTGGAAAGGTAGGAACAACATCTTTGTCTGACTCACCAACCTCTTGCCCTGTTCTAGATAAGGTCACTCAGCTCAGCCTTATGTGGAGTACACATTAGTCTCTCAAACAAAGCTCTGTTGGAGTAATTTGGTTTCCCATCACAATACATAAAATTACACTTATGTTGGTAATCATAAAAAAAGACCAAAAAGGAATGGGCCTTGAAGATTGAACTATACCCTTATACCTGTTAGTGATCCCTCCAGGCCATGGTAGAGGAATGTGGGCAGTACAGGTTGGACCTCTCTGGTCCAGGAACCTTGGGACCTGACTGGTCCCTAACAAGGGGATTTGCCGGAGCAGGAGAGGTTCCCTGTCATTGGTGTCCCAGTCAACCCGCCCAGGGCCGGCTTTAGGAAGTGCGGGACCCAATTTGAACTGTTTTGGCGGGGCCCCACCACCCAGGATTTTTGTTGAGCAAAAAAAAAAACCACCCACACAACAAACCACAACCACACACAAATATCACATCAGAGGTAGAGCTGATCAAAATGTATATCAGTATAGTTGAACATTTTCAAAAAAATTCCATCCTTTATTATAATAAAAATTTTACACAAAATTAAATCAGTTGCCTTAAGTGTAGGTCAAATATTTTCAATTGCAAACTATCCAATCTTTTCGATGAAGTTTAAAATTTGATTTTTAAAAAGTTACCAGAGAGCGTTGCAGTTTTCTGTTACATTGATTTACTTTTTAAATAGCAAAAATGGAGTCTTTGTTAAGAAAATGTCAGTTCTGTAGTCAAATTCCAGTCTTTAGTGATTTCAGCACCACTGATTTCACTAGGTAATATGGTACCTCACCACCATTGCCTCCTTTGCACTGTCCGTCAACACACATTGCCTGCATGTTGAGTCCAAGGTCAGTCTACACAAGATTTTATCAATGATTTTTGCTCGAGTGATCACTGAGACAAGACAAGGACTCTCAATTGATTCTAGTCAGCTCTGCCTTTAAACACTGGATATAAAGTGCCAAATATAATTGAGGACTCCCAAATAGACCCTACACCACCAGAAATAAAACCTGTTTCCATCTTCTATGACTTTCAGTTAGATGTGACTCACTATCCTCTGCTTAGTGTTCAAGTTATGGTAGACCCTAAGCCAGGTCATATTAAGTTCAGGTCTTACCTTTTAATCATACAATATGGA